TTTGTTATTGAGTTGTGAGAATCCTTTTAGTATTCTGGATATATGTTCTTCTTTTGTCAGACACACGAATTGTAAATATTTTCACTTTCTAAAATAATGTCTTTGGGAAAGCAGAAATTTTATGTTTTGATAAAGTTCCATCTTGTTTCCTTTCCTTTTCTTTTTCTCATTGTAACTAAGAAATCCTTGCCTTTCTTTAGGATTAAAAATATTCTGCTGTTTTCTTCTGTATGTTTTTCTTCTGTAGCTTTTTTGGTTAAGCCGGTGATTCATATCAAATTAATTCTTATCTATGGCATAAGGTAAATGTAATGTTCATTTCTTTTTTCATGTGGCTTTCCAGTTGTTCCAGCACCATTTGTTGAAAATATTAGTTGAAAATCATTTGACATTATACATATAGGTCTGAACTCTATTCTGTTTTATTGGCCTATATGTCTACCCTTATATCTACTTACATATTTCATTAATACTTATGTCTCTGTGTCTACTGTCCTGAAAAATAAGTTTTATGCTGTCTTAAAAGCAGTTATACATGTACACCAACTTCGTTATTTCTATGCATTTCTGTATAACTTTTAGTTACCTGATCAAATTAAAAACAAAAACTATATATATGCACAGATATCCACATATATCTGTGGGGCTTGGGAAGAACAGACATTTTATTGTAATGAGTATTCCAGCTCAGTGAACATGGGATAACTATTCAGGTCTTTAATTTCTCCTGATAGCAGCTTTTTAGTTTTCAATGTAAAGTCTTCTACAGATTTTGTTAAATTTATTTCTGTATTTTTTTTTCGTGTTTGGTAAGCTGATTAATATTGTATGTTTTAGTTTAAATTTCCATTTTCAGTTGGTCTTATATTTAGAAGATTTTGATTTTTGTTACATTGACCTTGTATTCAGTGATTTCTTTTTAATTGTTTAGGATTTTCTAACTATACAATGTAATTAGCAAATAATTTTATTTTCCAACTCAAGTGCCTGTTAAGAAACAGGGATCCATTATATACTGTACAAAAAGGAAGAATGAGGTAAAATATATATAAATAAATTAAATAATGTTAAAAAAATAAGGATCTAGAGTTTTCATCAAATTTTAATACTTTTAGTCATTATTTCTTCCCAGGCATCTACAGATACGCCCTTCCCTACCTTCTCCATCTCTTATCTGGAATATTTTACTCACTGTTATCTAAATTGGCCTGAGCAGACAGGCAATGTCGCCTATGCTCAAAACCTAGATCCCTAAGGAGTGGATCCTACTTTCTTCCCTTCAGTGAGGTCTCTGCCCTCCTCAGATTCCATCCTCAGAAGTGTGCAGACCCTCGGGTGGTGTTCCCTGCCAGACCAAGCTCAGGTTCCGGAAAACCCTTGACCTGCTAAGAATGTCTTTGTCTGGATTACAGGGTTTCCATATCGCCAGAATGGTGCTAACACGCTCGTTTTGAGTAACTCAAATTATTTCAGGCCTGCATTTTACATGGACGATTTCACTTAAATCTCACGTGTTTTAAAATTATTCCCATTGAGGAAACTGGGACACAGAAGTTTGTTGCCCAAGTTTGCATAGCTAACAAGACGGGTGGAGCCAGGAATTTGGAGTTTGAATTTCATTAATGTGACCCCAGCACCTGCTTTCTTAACGTGAGCTTTCAGACAAAAGAGCCATTAGGTGAAAGCTTAAGTATTCAAAGGCAGAAGGGGTAAAGGGAAGTGACAGAGCAGAAAATATATGGGGAAGAGTTCTTGTTGGCCTCTGTGTTTAAACATTCCTCCTTTGTATTCTGTCTCATCCTCTCTCCTCTCGCTGAACTTTAACTTCATGAAGTCTTGCATTGAAATCAGTGCCCTTAGAGTCCC